AAAGCCTTAAGTATTGGCCCGTGTAAATTGGTGTGGGTTGCATGTTAGGTAGACCGGAATTTTAACTGGCCTAAGAACAATGCTTCATAAAAAAAAACAAAAAAAAGTAAAAAAAAAAAAATTTCAAGTTTCAACCGAGCTGCCCTAAGTGATCTAATCCAACCAATATATAAGGACAGTAAGATTTCAAGAAAATGCGTTTCTTGTCCTATTATCGATTCCTCGTCCCAGCGACCTATTGCGTGGCTTCGTACGAGGGACGACGGCCCAGGAATCTGACGGCGTTAAGCGAACTGCGCCTGCGGGTGCCCTTCTTCTCCTTTTTCTCTTACAGTCTCGAAGTCTCACTCGAGACTGATAGATTTGGATCTGATCATACGGAGATACGACCATCAAATCAACACCAACACCGAACTCAAAAAGGCTATCTAACTCTGCCACTCGCGAGCCTCTTATTTCTTCTCTGACCGTCTTCCGTCTGGCTGAAAGCGGCAATGTTCCATGACAACTCGGGCTCCAGTAATGGGCATTATAGAGTCGGGCAGCAGCGAGAAGGCCGACCGCGAAGAGGGCGAGGCGGGACTGGCGGCGGCTTTAGGGCATCACACTACAGCCAGCAGTCCCAGGAGAGGAGCCCTATTCCGCCATGCACTGAGTATGATAAGGCATACTTTCAGGCTTACTCGGACATCGCAATCCATGAAGAGATGATCAAGGTATTCGCATCATTTTCGTTATTGTGCTTTTCTTCTTCGGTGTTCTTACCTCGAGATTGGTCTAATAGTTTTGTGAGAGCCGGAACTTGTTGGTGGAATAGGGGTTTTTCTATGGTTGATAACCCAAGGTCAAATGAACTAGCATTGTTTCAGAATATACTGTAAATATACAACCAATACATAATTCGAAATAAAAAGGCTACCCATAAAAAAATTCCCGTAGAACATTTTGAGCTGTCAGAACTTAGTTATGAATACTCAATTACTCACCCATATTAGTATCAGAATAGTCAAATTCATGATTGATAATTGTATTAAAATGGCAATAAACCAGGTACGTGGTGTTGACTGAGCTGTCTTGTTCAAAACTTGAACTAATTGGCTAAAAAATGACGGACTGATTGGCTAGAGTTGTAGAGGGCATATTGCTTTCCCAACTTTCCCACCCTTTTCCCAAAGAAAAATATTCTGGGTTCATTTTTAAGACAAAACTCTTAACCATGGTAGGTGTTACCGTGCCAACAATTAACACAAAAAATTTCACTGCATATTTTATACTTGAAATGGTATAGGTGTGATTATAGATAAGAGTTTGAAGGATAATATCGTAAAAGTTAATAGAATTGAAGATATAATTATAGGTTTAAAGATTATTGTTGATACTAAGATTATTAATATTATAAGTGCTTATGCTTCTCAATTAGGTTTGAATATGTGTTCAAAATTAAAATTTTGGAATGACTTAGAAGAATTAATAAAAAAAAATCTTTTTGAGAAAAAAATTTATTGGAGGAGATTTAAATGGACATATTTATAGAGAGGTAGATGATTTTAAAAGTATTCATAGTGGCTATGAGTTTGGAGCCATTAATGAAGGTGGTAAGATCATATTGGATTTTTCTTTAGTTATGATTTTGTAATTGCTAATATTTTATTAAAAAAAAAGAGATAAACATCTCATCACTTATAAGAATAGATATAGTAAAACTTAGATTGATTATTTTCTTATAAGAAAAATAGATTCTTTAGATTGCAAAGATTGTAAAGTTATTTCGAGTGAAAGTTTTTGTACCTTTAAAAATCCCAGCCATCCCTTAATACTTGATCCCACAGCCAAGATGGGAATTCATGGGAGGCTTACCTAGATCATACCGATTTCTATTAAATCCCAGTCGTCCCTTGGCACGTGATCCCATAGCTAGGACAGGAATCCTTCGGAGGCTCACCTAGATCACATCGATCTCCTTCTATATTTGGATGACTGATTTAGGAAATATTATATTAAGGAAATTATGCATAATTATGTAGTTATTTGTTTTTTTTTTTATTAAGACATATTGTATAGATCTATAAATATGAATAATTTTGTATATAAAATTAAGAATTTTCCCTCTACAATTCTTTGAATTTAACATGGTATCAGAGTAAGATTCCCACCATCGGCCTTCATTGTCTGAATTTTGAGGAATACAAGTTCCCACTACCGATCTTTATTGCCAAAATTTTGAGGAATAATGGTTCCCACCACCGACCTTTATTGTTAGAATTATGAGGACCTTTGTGCATCCAAGACCGAGGAGAGATTGAGCGGGCTCCTCTTGCGTGCAATGTCCAGAGATGACCGAGCAGAAATGAGCGCAGGACCTCCTCCTGTGTGTGTTTGGAAAGTGCCGAGAGCTCCCTCTCATGCAAGGGCAGGGACAAGCAAGAGTGCAAGACCTGTACGATCAAACCAGAGGGATCAAAGACTTTGCATGTACTGGCCTATAAAATAGGAGCATGTTCAGGTGGAGTCGGATGACCTAGGAAGAAAGATATCTGCGTGTTGAGTGTTGAGTAGCTTGAGACGTATATTTCTTCTCCTATCTTTGAAGCTTGTCGCAACCCTAAAAAATATATTTTTTGTTTTTTATTGTTATGTCTTCCTTGTCGGCCTTCCCTTGAGAACCAAGAGAGACGGACCTAAAGGATAATTAATCTACTTTTCTTGTTGTCCCATCATCAACCTTAATTGCCATTTTTGGTATCTTGTGGGCTATTGTTCAACATAGCCTTCATTGCTGCCCCACACCTTGTAGGCTTGATTGATATAGCCTTTATCGCTATCATTTGACGTTGTCGCAATGTTTGAAGCTAATTCCTCCCAAAGTTTTGACAAAATGGAGGACTCTATGGTGCGCTTAGGACTTGATAACTTTACTTTTTTTGCGACTAATTACTAAGCTGGGAATGACATATCTATGTTCTCCAGCTTGAGGGGCAGTGTTAAAATCTCAACCGTCCCTTAACACTTGATCCCATGACCAAGATGAGAATCCATGGGAGGCTCACCTAGATCATGCCGATCTTTGTTAAATCCCAACCATCCCTTGACACGTGATCCCACGGCCAGGATGGAAATCCATGGGAGGCTCACCTGGATCATGTCGATCTCCTATATTTGGGTGGCTGATTTAGGAAAGATTATATTAAGGCAATTATGCATAATTCTATAGTTATTTGTTTCTTTATTAAGACATCTTATATAGACCTATAAATAGGGATACTTTTGTATAATAAATTTAAATATTTTTTCCTTTCTAATTCTCTGAATTTAACAATACCCAACATCGCTTATTAGTTTTAGACTTTAATGTAGGGGCAAAAGATAAAATAAAATGTTGTTCTAGAATTAAATGAGGGCATTTAAAAAATATTTTTGAGAGTAAGGTTCTAGATCTTAATAGAAGATTCATTAAGAACTTTGATACCATTGTATCTCATATAGCTGATTGTCTTAAGAAAGGGGATTTTCACTGGACTACGGTTGCCACCAAAGCCTTTGAAGAGATTAAGAAAAGAATAGTGGAAGCCCCAGTGATGAGAATTCTTGACTTCTCTAAGGTTTTCGAAGTTACCTGTGATGCTTCAGGGGTCGGAATTGGAAGAGTGTTGTCCTAGGAAGGTCACCCTGTTGCCTTTTTCAGCGGGAAGCTGAATGGCATCCGGCAAAGCTATTCTACGTATGACAAAGTGTTATATGCCGTGATCTAGTCCAATATCGTTGGAGACACAACCTGCTCCCACAGGAGTTCGTTATCTTTTCAGATCATGAGACTCTTCGTTATGTCAACTCACAGAAGAAGTTGAATGCACGCCATGGCCGTTGGATAGAGTTCTTACAGGAGTACACTTACACTCTTAGGCACAAAGCGGGAGTTGAGAATAAGGCTGCCAATGCCCTCAGTCGTCGCATGATGGCTACCTTTGAGATGAGGGCAGAAGTCATTGGGTTTGAGCAGGTCAGAGAGGATTACTTGGAGTGCCCCGACTTCAAGGAGATTTATTCCCTTTTATCCACAGACAGCGAACACCTTGTGGATTTTTCTCCTTGAGGATGGATATTTATTCAAAGCTCAGAACCTTTGCATTCCAAGCACTTCCCTTAGGGAATTCCTCGTTTGAGAACTTGTTGGAGGTCTCGTTGGACATTTCAGTCGTGACAAGACTATTGAGGCTTTAGAGTACTGTTTCTTCCTGCCTAGCCTGAAGAAAGATGTGGGCAAGATGGTCAGTAGATACCACACGTGTCAACTGGCCAAGCAACGAAAGCAGAACACAGGTCTCTACATCCCATTACCAATTCCAGTTGTCCATGGTCGGATGTCAGCATGGACTTCGTTCTTAGCATGCCCAATAATTCTCGTAGTAATGATGTCATGTGTTGTAGTTGACCGTTTCTCCAAGATGACACATTTCATACCTTGCTCCAAAACATCCGATGCCTCACTTGTCGCCAAGCTATATTTTAATGAGGTGGTTAGATTGCATATTTGCCCAAGACCATTGTATTTGATAGAGATGTTAAATTCACGAGTTATTTCTGGAAGACCCTATGGATGAAGATGGGTATTAAATTGCAGTTTTACATAGCCTTTCATCCTTAGAGTTATGGCCAGATTGAAGTGGTCAATAGGAGTCTAGGAAATTTATTGAGGACCTTAGTAGGTGAGCACATTAGAGATTGGATTCCAAGCTCCCCACGATTGAGTTTGCTTATAATAATTCTATGCACCACACCACTGGTCTAAGTCATGCTGAGATTGTTTATGGGTACAAGCCTAAGCAACCTTTAGATCTCATACCCATATGCCCTAGGTATAGGATTTCTGAGTTTGCATGTTCATTTGCATCGCATTTGCATGATTTACACGAGGAAATTACACATCGTATTGAATAGAGCAATGCAAATTATAAACTTCACGTCGATCTTAAATGAAGATTCAAGACATTCAAGGTGGGTGATTCAGTGATTGTCTGGATCCATCCGGAACGATTTTTGAAAGGGACCATTAGGAAATTACATGTTAAAAGTATGAGATCATTTAAAATAATCAAGAAAATTAATGATAATGCCTATGTGGTGGATCTGCCTATAGATTTCAATATTGATCTCTATTTTAACATTGAAGATTTAGTATCCTATGAGGGCCCAGAGTTTAATCCACCCAATCCACTACATAGTGAGCCTTGTGTGACCCTACCATATAAGAACTCAATCTTTCCTCACTTTCAAATATTCCTAAATCACATATTGTGGAGAAAATTGACTTGATTTTAACCAATGACATCATTTCCACGAAAGAGGGTGGACGAAGAAGGTACTTGGCAAAGTAAAGAGATAAACCAGAGACAGAGGACACTTGTCTAGAGTGCGAGGAGCTCAAGAGGATTGATCCGGATGCGCTAGAGATCTATGAGAGCACTCAGGATGCATATTTGGAGTCGATATTTTTTTCTGATGTGAAACAATCGGGAGTTACTTGGGGAAATTAAAGAGAGCGAATTAACAAAGTGTTTCCACAGTAAATTTATTACTTATAACAATGATTGATCCTTAGAATTCTTAGTTTTTAACTTGCTTAGGCAAAGAAGAGCGAAGTCGGTTAACCAAACAATTTAAGAAAACACAAAGATCATTTGTAAAACTACGACGATAAATAAGAATCCGCGATTTAATAATGAGAACTTTTACCTTTGGAGCCCATACGCTCAACTAGTCTAGGCTTTTAGCGGAAGAAGAGTCTCCACATTAGAACCGAGGTCACTCCGAGGAAGAAGGAGCCTAAGATCGTCGTTCTTGGATAGGTGGCCAGAGTGGTGGAGGATGATGGTCGTCCAAGGATGATCCAACGTCCCTTTGATCTTTGCTCATCGATCACATCCACTAAGGTGTAATGGATACGGTCGATGTAATCTTCAATGGTATCGTCGAAATCGAAGCCCACGTCAAAGAACGGTGATTGGAGGATGTCAACTTGATCTTGGTCGTCATGCACAAATCCACAGTCCCATTCGGGTTCCGCCATGCATCCT